AAACGAAGAAGTTTTCAGATTTCAGATATCCTGTTTTAAATTACAAAAATTATTAACCCTTTCAGCGCTAAGTTGTTCGACGTTAAGCGTGCGCTGTGGGCTGCCCAGTTTTTACGAAAAAGGGCGCGTTGGGCTGAACAAGTTTGAAGTTTCGATACAAAATATATTGATTGTACAGTCACTTGCAATAATGGTGACAACGGTAGACGCCGTGCGGTGAGGTAAGAACGAGATTGGGCGGTGCTTGCTCGCGTATCTTGGCCTGTACGTGCGACGCAGAAAACGCTACGGTGCGAGCGAGACGCAAGAGCGTCGCTCGGTGGGTCCTTGTTGCACAGCACTAGTGTAAGCGAGACGCCAACAAGGCCCCTCATGTGCAGTAGGGAGCTTGGTGGGGGACCGCTCGTGTTCGGGCGCATGCTCTTGCTCTTGCTCTTCCTCTTGCTCTCGCTCTCGCTCTCGCTCTCTGTCTCTCTCTCTCTGTCTCTCTGTCTCTCTCTCTCTCTCTCTCTCTCTCTCTCTCTCTCTCTCTCTCTCTCTCTCTCTCTCTCTCTCTCTCTCTCTCTCTAACTAACGCTCTATGACCAGAACAGCTACTACCCCGATAAGAAACAAGAAGGAGCTATGGGACTTTCGGTAGTGGGAATGAGATAGACTTTTCAATTATCCGTCCTCGTCAGTGTTAATAAGACAAAGACAGATATATGGGACGTGGTGGCTAGGAACAAGTGTCCCAGCGTCTAACGCATTGTGAATAGGTGCGACTTAGGGACCTATTGCCGTCTCGCTTATACTCATGCTGTGCGAAGAGGACGCACGGTAGGACGCTTCAATGCGTTGGACGCTGGGACACTTGTTCCTAGCTACCACGTCCCATATATCCGTCTTTGTTTTACTAACGCTGTTTGACGAGGACGGATAATCGAAAAGTCTATCTCATTCCCACTACCGAAAGTCCCATAGCTCCTTCTCGTTTCTTATCGGGGTAGTAGCTATTCTCGTCATAGAGCGTTAGTCTGAGAGAGAGAGAGAGAGAGAGAGAGCAAGAGCATGCGCCCGAACACGAGTGGTCCCCCACTAAGCTTCCTATTGCGCATGAGGGGCCTTGTTGGCGTCTCGCTTACACTAGTGCTGTGCAACAAGGACCCACCGAGCGACGCTCTTGCGTCTCGCTCGCACCGTAGCGCTTTCTCCATCGCACGTACAGGCCAAGATACGCGAGCAGGCACCACCAAATCTCCATTCTTACCTCACCGCACGGCGTCTACCGTTGTCACCATTATTGCAAGTGACTGTACCTGAAATAATTTTAACAGTAATTAAAAAAACCTTAATAGAATCCTTTATTTCATTGGACATTTATAACATCATTGATATTAAAAATAGTAAATTATATCTTTGAAATTGAAAATTTAATAATTTTGTTTTGGGTGGTAAATCTCGAAGCAGGGTTCAATACATAGGCATTTTACAAACGTGCAGTTGGAAAACGCATTCTTATTATTTTTTTTTGTTTTTATATCTCTAGACTTACAAGCATCGTTGGTATCGCATATATACTTTCATAGCTCAAATTGAATGGTTGCGAGAGAATACATAAATGGGTTCATAGCGCATGGTGAACGATTTTTCGGAACGCATATACTTATATGGATTCATAGCGCTGAAAAGGTTAAACTGCTTTTTTCGGAATTTATGTTGGCTCTTGTCAAGATAAAAATATGAATATATATGTTAATTTATTTTCCGTCGACCACTCTAACTTCGAAGTTCTGTATGTAAGATATTTAAATACATAAAAAACAACGCTGCTTGTTCTAGTGTTCAAGGGTACATTCTCAGAGCATATGCAAGGAAAGTAACATATGAGGAAAAGCGTGAAAGTAAAAGTACAAATTGATAATATTGTGGTAAAAATCGATCCAGACTTTGCTCATAACTCGATTGACGCACTTTAATGATTCGTCCATATTTTTTTTTAAGGTGAACCTGTAATTAGAAACGGATGAGTTTGGTTCAAACTCAGTCTCAAATTTAGTTAAAGTATTCTACGATTACGATAACGTTAATACTGTTAGGACACTGTCAACGCTATTCAACTCATTTGCAAGATAAGTACATCCCTTTGTCGATCTTTCAGTGACATTTGAATTAAAATCAAAACGTGTGTTTAGTCTGCCGTAGGGCTAACCGCTAAAATAATTATGAATCAAGCCAAGTTTTAATGGAGGCATGACTAAAGCTTGAAAGCCATGAATAAACTGTATTTCATAGAAGTCTTCTACTATATCAGACTATACCTTCGCCTGAAACATAATTGTTTAACATCATTTCACAATTTCGTTTTATTTATTAAGCTTAGATATTACCGCGTGGCTTAACATTGTCTCCACTTTTAGTACATGGTTGACTCAAGCTAAAAATGTCAACCGTCGATTGTCAAGTCTGGATCGAGCTTTCACCAACTGTTGAGTATAGGATTTTTAGCAAATATTCAACCGGATAAATTTCTCAGAAACAAGACGAAGCTCATATGTCGAATATTTATTATGCTTGTCTAAATAACCTTCTCCTTATGACATACATATATAATTAATTCGTATTCATATTTCTTAAGACGCCAATAAGCGTACAGAGTGTCTTACATATCCCCACCTGTCTTTTTTAGGATGTTCGGTGATAACACATAGTCCAAGATAAGATTCTGCATATTTTGTATGTTTTAGACAATAATAAAATTCTCTCTTATGCAAAAATCGAATATAGTTAACTGTGTAGTTTTTGGAATATAAAAAAATCTAAAAGTGTAAATCTGTAAGAAAATATGTTTCTTGACAGATCGACAATATTGAAATTCCTAGAAATCACATATCTATACAATTTATCGTATAAAATATGCACACGGAAGGCTTTGTATGCAGATTTTTTATATTTATTTCTTTAAACATATATTTTAGTGATTTTATGAAAAGTCACGTGTCACGACCCCATATAAGATTGTATCAACGGTTCAAAGTTGGCATGGTGATGGCACGGACCTTATGGTGCTGACGTGGTATTATTTGTTAATAGTGATATAATAAAGAATTTGATGCGGCTTGTTAACAACATCTCAATGCTGCAAAACAGTGTTCCTCCAGTAGCAGATATTATATTTATACATCAATGACAATTGTTAATTTTGTTCTACATCTTTTTCAGTAATTGATCTAGTGAAGAATTATACTTTTTCAGAAATTGTCTTACTTGAGTCTATTTTCTATATAATATAAATTACGTTGATATTTCATTCTGTTTCGAAATGTTTTTTTGAACGGAGAAAATGAGAATCGAAAATTGTAGATAGGAATTACAGAAATCTGTAAGCACGGTGCTAGAATAGCTGCTACGTATAGTGTTTTAGAACCAGTTTGGATTTATGCCTTTACTTCTTATTCACGTACAATTTTTACGAAACCGTATTGTAATTACTATCTTTCTTTTAATACTTATTCACGTATTAATAAAATATTTTAAAGCAGGGTAGTATTTATTGGTTATCCCACCAGTCCCGTTTTCTCCGTGTACTTTAACAATACAGTATAGTATACCGAGTAGAGTTACACCTGTTTAATTTAACCCTTTACTTTGAATATCATGCGATAAAATATGTAAAACATCTTTCTTTTACCTTGAAAATGATTTCTTGTAATGTAAGTCATTTACTATGTTCGAATTCGAGGTAAAAAATTCAAAATTGTTATATCTTACGTGCACAAAGGCAACTCTAAACTTCAAAACTTTATTAAAATTCAGTTTTCGAAGAAAATTCGTGACTCGATACATTTTTGGAATATTTATTTTCTTACTTTTTTGTTCCAGAGTAATTATACGAGGGTTTTTGGGATTGCTGAATACAAAATTAATTTTAGAATGAGAATTTAAAAGTTAAATGCTGTCAACTTTATGAAAACACATGTTTTTCGGAAAAAATGAAGCCACACTAGGGTTGCAGAGGTTACTGAATACAAAACTGTTGTCAGAATTAAAAATTGACGGTTAATAGCTGTCAATTTTTATAAAACGGACAATAATCTGTTACCTGCACATTTTTAACCCTTTCATTTGTCTGTGATTCAAATTTCGCGTCAATCGCGTTTTGCGTGCTAAACGTACGTATTTCCTGTAATGAACTCCTCTCAACCATCAAATCCTAATTCTAATACCAGATTCAACGTCAGCAATTCTAGTACGGCATAATTTCTGTTGAAAAACATGTATTTTGCTTGAAATTGAAAGCGAGGTTGGCAGCTGTCGACTTTTGAATCCTAATTCTGACATCAGATTCATACTTAGCGACCGCAAAAACCCTTACAAGGGATGTTGGTACAAAAACAGTATAATGAAATTTCGTTAATAAAAAATTAAGAAACAAGAAGAAATAATGATATCATGATGTGAACATGACCTTCTTATATTACATAAAGTTAATTCTACCTACGAATGTGATATTTAATACTTTGAGTGTAGCAATTCAAATTAATCATTATGGATTGTAATCAACGTGGTATCTTTGGAATTTTTAAACGTTCAACCACTTTTTTGTAGACAAATTGTATTGACTACTTTGAGTCATAAAAAACAATAAATTTATTTATACATCATTATCTGATGTTTTTGTTAGTCGAATTAAAAAGTGGTACATGCTACAGATGGCTTGTAATATTATTGGTTTATGTAGCGAGAAACAGATTAGAATTTGGCGCCTGATGCCTTTCAGATTCTGAACGCTTGCGTAGCGTGGGTTTGCGGGGGATGACAGCGCCGCGACCGGCCGCGACACGTAACTTCATTGGCGTCAAATTCGATCAATACGGGTTCTCCTGTGACGTAAACGCGCTCCGGTAGTCCCATTGGTTCAGATTTACACCGCATCCCATTATTTATTACGAGCAGATGAATGGGCCATTTTGAAAACGCGTGGACGTGCTTTGTGTCGAAAAAAAAAAAATAAAGTTTCCATGAACACGAACAATTTGTCCTTGTATAATTAAAAATCAACAATGAAGCATCGGCGCTCATTTTTGATGTTCAAGACATAATTTCAATTGGAAATGCGACTGAACGTTAAGTTCGCGCGATGTTTGCCATTTCAAATGCCGTCAGCCACAATCGATCATCAGCGACCACTATCCACCAGCCCGCACCATCCGATAAGGTGGTGTCGCCACCGGCTACCTGAAGAAAAGAAAACGTGCGCGCGCTCGGTTGGCCGAGTGGATGAAAGTGGATAGCGCACCTCGTACATGTCAGCAATGCCAGCGATACGAGCGAATATGGTGGTCCAGTGAAGTCTTCGTTCCCGTGATGTCTAAGCTCCCGCGTGCAGCTTTCTTTGGCAAAACGTTCTAAAGTGATCTACTGGCTCTTTTTCGTAATTTACAAAAAATCCTGCTTAAGTCACGTCGTAAGAAGGAGACTCAAGTTACGGGCATGTGGTTCTCATCTGCGATCGGAAATTAATCCTGCCATCGAGGCCTTCCTTCTTCATTGACCGTATCTCTCGCTACACGAGAAGACTTAGGAAGTGCTGCGTGCAAGAGGGAGGGAGATTAAGTGGGCAGGAGAGCACAAATTGGTGAGAGCAGGACGGAGTATGCCAGATCACACGCAGTGACACATTTAGTATCCATTGCGAGTTCAGAACTGGCATAACCTCTTTTCTGCATTATGGATGTGGAGTGAATCCGTCGTTCGAGTATCAAGTGAGAATTATTTTGGTCCGAAGCCCAACTGGACATCGAAGTGATTTTTTTAGAGAAATAGCCATTCACGACGATTCTTGGAAACTTTGCGTTTCTAATGCAGCGTTTCTAACCGATCGTGCTACGACTCAAAAGAAATAAACTCGCAAGCATTTCAGATAATATTAAGTACCCAACAAAGTGAATTAGGAAAAAGTGTTAGGTGAGGTGATGGTGGTGTAGGTGGCGGTGACTGTCGTGAACGGAACGTAAGGAGACACATTGTTGGACGGGAAGCGGCAGACAGACCAGAAAGATAAATTAGAGAAACAGAAGAGAACCAAGTGGACGCGATACAAGGAAAGCTGAAAGGAAATGTAAAATCGAAGGATTTGATCTGACATTTCGAACGAAGCTAATTCATGCGCCAGAGTCTTTTTACATTCGGTGGGAAGTTCCAAAGAATGGCAGTCGGGAGCGCAGTGCTCGTGGGTGTGGAAGTCTCATTTACCTGAAGCCACATATTTTTTCGGTGATATAAAAAATTTATTCCTATCCTTCTCATCTGAGATCTCGGAAACGATCGAGCGAGACACGAATATTTGGAGCAAATTGGCAAACGTTGAAGGGGCCAAGCATAGACCGAATGGTCAGTGTAGATTGAGTGAATTGGGTGAATCAGGCAGACTCAGTGGATCAAGTATAACGAGCAATAGAGATAGCGAGTCTAATGAAATGTGAAGTGAAGAGAAACAACGCTCTTATAAAAATTAACTTTCGTAAATACTCGATGAGGTTTGAAGCATTGCCCTTAAATCTCGAAGACTGAAAGTAACCTTATCAGCGTGGAAAGTGCATCGACGTTTTCTATTACAGAGTTTCTCCCTTTGAGTGCTTAAGTCTGAATCGACAACTATCGTGGCAAATATTTCATGAGTTTCAAATGAGAAGCGCTCGGATTCGCGTGCAATCGATTTGGCGGACTAGGAGGCGCAGGTTGATCGAGGAGAGACCGTAGGAGGGGGGGGGGGAGGAAAAGGGAGATAGAGAAGCAGAGAAAGTGAGAGGAACGACGATAGGAGGAAAGAATAACCGTAACATGCAATACGTGAAGAATTAAAAAGAGATTCGGTCGTCGAGAAATTTACGAGATATGCGCGAAGCACGGTGGTAGCCCGTTTACCTTCTCCAGTGTAGCCCTTCCCTGACAGTACGGTGCTGCCGTGTAATCAAGTTTGCGTTGTCGGAAATAGCTTTCGATAGCAATTCCATAGGTGAGATATATTTCGAGGAACGGAGAATCAGAGCGAAGGAGTGAAGCGCTGAAAAGAAGGAATCACGGGTCGGTAGATAAGGTGCGACGAGGTCTGAGTTGAAACAGTGAAAAGGAGTAAAGAGGAAAGGAAAGAAGAGGAAGAGAGAAGAACGGTAAGGATGAGAGTGTTAAATGTGAGGAAAAGAGTGAAAAAATTGGTGAAGAGAAAAAACATGATATCTGAAGTTTCATAGTGACGGGGTGGCAACATCAAAGATACATACGAAAAGGAGTGGCACCAGCATCTCTAAGAAGGGCGAGTGTTACTTTCTCAGGTGTTCAGGTTATACCCAACTGGTAACAAAAGTGAATGAGTGGCGAGTCCTAAGGGAAGTGCGTGAGCGTCTTGTGAATTTTCTAAAAATTCGGGTATTCCTAAGGACCCGATCCGCGTCCTGGATGAAAGAATGCGAAAACCTCTTTATAGTCTGTGATCATGATTTGTTATACGGATGACGTTAGTGGAAACCGAACGAGAGACATTATCAATCACTACGTCGTGAAAGAGGAAGAGGAAGAGGATTTCGGACCCGGCTCGGTCGTGCTGATCGAGGTCAGCCGTCGGGCGAATCCTAACCTCGATAACGATCGTGCGCCGGGTAAGCGAGGCAATAGGTGGTGGCGCGCTCTTACAATCAGGTGGAATAACCGCTACGAGGATCGAAGTCGCTTCAGTGACATTATCAGAAGTACTAGGAGTACTGGAAGCGCAAGGAAGAACAGGAGTACTTGGAGCAGGAACTGGAGTAGGAGCAGGAGTAAGAGCGGCAGTGTCATCGGGTTATCCTCGGAGGCAAGGAAGAAAGTGAAAAGTGTGGTTTGCGTAGGAAATCGATTTGCCGGTGTGCCTCGCTCGATAAACCGTGTGCTCGGCCCAGAATTGACACCCCGGTCTAACCTAACTTGGAGCGTGTGTTTGTGGCCGGATCGTTGCAGCGTGTGCTTACTGGCTGACGGATGACTCGTTCAGGACGAGCTCCAGTAGTCGTAGACGTCTCCCTAGCAACTCTAGCAAATTTAGCACATAGACTCTCTCGGACTCTTGTCTTGTTTGACTCTGACTTGACGCTCCCCCGAGTTACTCACTCTACTACTAGTAGCCACCTTATTGTCATTGTTGATCTTGAGAGAGTATCGTTAATCGCCCTAACTACGGGAATCGGGCCACCAGCTATTAGGCCGTGATGGCGGACCTTCCTGACATGTCTCATCTCACTCCCGAAGAAAGGCGCATCATCGAGAGTGTCATGATGCGCCAGAAACAAGAGGAGGAACGTGAAAACGAAATCATGAGGTGGGTACCGCAAGTAATTCTAATCACTAAACAATATTATTTTTTATTATTTTTTTACTAAATAATTATATAATGTAATAATAAATTTTTGCATATATTTCTACGGTTTACCATTTAGCAAAACTATAAAAAGCAGTTCTTATTGGAAATAAGACAGTACACTTCATAGAACAGTTTATCACTAGTGGTTTGATGATGGTGCATATGCAAATTTATTTGAAAATAATCATTGAAAAGCCAACAAACCATTTTGAACATCATCGTCACTTCACTTTTACTCTATTAGGCCAAAAAAATGAAGTAATTTTCGAATTATTTCAAAACCTACGATTATTTCGTATGGTAAACGTCTTTGACTCTGTATTTCCTCTGAGCATTTACTTCATTTATAATCAGAGCCAAAATCCAAAAAATCAGTTAACTTCATATTCACTGTGTATATTCATAATCTTCTTATCCACTCGCTTCTATATAACATACCTATATTATAATTTTTCGCGTTCACTTATATATATATAATTGGGTATATATAGTCTCTGTATGAACTGTATACGAATTGTATACAATTTATATATAGCGAAAATCTCAATCTATATATATCGTGATTATATACATGTTATTTGTACATAATCTACACATGCAATGTAAAAATCTACAAAATTGAACGGTTAAACGTTTATTCTATACAAGATCATTAATTGCTACATTTTAATACTAAAGTCACAAACTTCAATATCTAAGGTATAGTTCTCGTATTATGATATTAATGAGTGAAACTTGCTTAGATATAGTGAAAAATTATAGGACAGGCTCACACACGATATTTTTTTGCTAAAATTTTTGGAACTTATGTCACCTAATGTAATGTAGTTTAGCAATTGTTTTATCTTTGAGAGATCGCTTAGAATTACATGTTAAGGAGATCCTGTCGATGCATGCTAATCAACTGATCAACTATCGAATCAATTCCATAAATCGATTCGAACAAATCGGACTTTCTACGAAATTATTCACATTAAGTATAGAAATTTGTTTGTAGGTGTTTATCTTTGTGAAATTCGCTCATTTATACAAATATATTTAAAACTCATATTCTCATTTGATTTTTATTTATTTGTTTATTCGATCTCTCCCAGTGAATCGATGGAGATCCGGCAATTTGATTTGCAATTACTCTTTGAAACACCCGGTAAGATCACTTTTTTATGGTATATATATCGAATCCTGAAGAATTCACGAATCCGTAGTATACCATTTTTTGCTTCAAAGTTCAGTTTAAATATGTTAGTTTCTCATCCAAAGTCGAAATTCAATCTCTGTGACCGACCTTCAAATTTTGCAATTGAGTTCAGAATTGTTTAATTTCTAACCTATAAAAGTTTCAGACGTGAAAATTCAAGTAGGTAGTTTCGACAGGACCTCCTTAATGTTCGAATCTTCGCTTCAAATTTCACATCTCATTTTCTTTGGTTTTTTAACTTGAATGCAACTTCAACACTTTAATAGTTCCATCAATATTATCGATCAGTTCTCTTTGTAACTTTACTTCATGAAATTGCAATTACATTGTGATACTCTGTATTACTTTCAGATTTTAGGATAGTCCCTTACAATAGAATGTTAAGAAACTAATTTGTTGAAATGAATATATTTGTAATTGGTACTGTACATAATATGAGATCTTACAATTAGACACACATTGAAACTAAATTCTGGCATTTAGATAGAACTGTCAAATCTAGTATTACCACCGAAGAATTAATTACCTATTCTTTTAAAATAAATCAGTGAAATTTTTAATAATTCATTCGGTAGTTTAAGATTTCATTGATTAAATAGTGATCTCATGTTTCTGTCACTGCTAAATTAGTGGTTTCGGGTTGACAAGAGCCATGTCAACTTCACCATATTGTTTATCGCATTGTCATTTCGTGTGTGAGTCGCTGCTGGTCATACTAACTGGTGATACTAATGGACAGTGAATTGATGCAGCTTTCAATAGTATTTTCTTTGCGATGCATATAAGTCATGCTTGTAAAAATTCGTACAATACATCGTACTATTCTTGTAGGAATAGTAATTTAGAATGTCCGTATGTTTACATATAAATATGAATATTGAGAATATTACCATTTTCATATATGGAAATATTGACAATTATAATTCTTAGTCGAAGTAAAATTTTTAAAATTGCGCTGGCCGTTCAGTGAGTAGACTATTTCATGTCACACTTTGAACATCTCGACGATTTCTGGTTCGAGTCCCATTCACGACACCTCAAACAGACGTGTACTAAGCATGGGTTACACACGTACCCATTTTTTAATTTTTCTTCATATAATCACCAGTAAAATTCCAAAAAATTCTCATGTCGTAGTAATATTTACAAAACATTTTTTTTTCCAAGTACTGATTAAGTCAATAGATATGTCGATTTCGTTGGTTTGTTTAGTTTAATTTCACAGATTCAATTCAGTTATATAATTTCACTGGTTTATTTAGTAGAATGTCACTGATTGTCAGTGATTCTGTTTTAACGACGACGATCAGTGACTATTCATTGATTCATTTTAAGAGAGTACTTTCTGAATGGCGAAATATTAATTGCACTCTGTTCTATTGAGGAAACAATTTTTCTGTAGTCGAAAGTGATCGAAAATCAAATTTGAGAAATTGGTTCACTGCAATATATAATACTCTCGTGGCAAGATCTTGGGTGTGAAGATCAGTAGTACGTTAGTATATATTGTAACGACGCTTTTTTGGCGCGGTCTACAAATGAATGGCACCCTGACAAAAATTAGGAAAGAAGAGTATTAACGAAAATTTTGAGCGCCAGGTACAGAGAGGTGGTACCGGGAAATTGTCTCCAATTATTATCCTTGGCCAGTTCTGATGAAAACGAAAACTGAAAAGTTAACAAATTAACTGAGGAAATTTACCAAAGATTACTAAAATTAATATCGCAGACATAAAACTATCGGACACGAAATCCACAGTTGGATGCGATTTATTTTATATAGAAACATGATGACAATAATAATTAGTACAAATGATAGGAATGAAAAATAGGTCACGATGGTACAGCACGCAATTCGACAATACCCAAATGATAATATAAAATACGTTCCCGTAGGAACAACGCAAATTATTAACGGTACGATGCAAAGCGATACAAACCAAGAGTAAACGATAGTGATAGTGACTCAGGCCCCCGTGTGCTAGGGAGACGATTCCGTGAAGCATGGACTGAATGATTTAACGTGATTGACGCAAAAATCCGGAATTAAAGAAGGAAGGGAGAAGACCGATTGTTACCGTATTAACTATTCTCGGATCCGTAGCGATCGGGAAATCGTAGGGTGACGCGAAAGAGTACGTTGAACAGAAAAGATCGGCTAAACTGGTAAGGGAGAGAATAGCCAATTGACACCATGAGCGTCACTCACCGTCGCCCAGATACTCCTAATGTCCACATGAACACACTATCCTGGATTACAAGTCCCTCAAAATAGATAATGATACGGTAAACTAGACAAAACGATATAAACGAAAGCAGGCCTATCCCTGAGATTGGCTACGACGCGAGTAACGCTACAAATTTCTAATATCGGGAACCTTCCCAAGAGGCGCGCTGTAATATATGCCTCAGCCCAATCCGATTCGTGGACACAACCACATCGGCCAAGTGCTCGCTTTTTTTGTTTTGACGATCTCGGTGAAGTAGATCCCAGCATCTTTCGCTGTTACAGTGGCTGCAGTGCTATTTGCGGGAGGCGGGAATGTCATCCACCTCTACTTTCTCGATATACGGCTCCGTGTCGCTCCTGCAACCCCTCATATGCCCTCTGGTCGTGTGTGCTTGGGCTTGACGTCGCTTGGCCTCCACAACGCCCTGCTAGGCTTATAGTTAACTCTGTCGGGTCACATAGTGATCAAATGTTTATCGAATACCTCTGAATCCGCTTAATGAACTCAAAATACAAAAGAAACGTTCCCAACAGGGAATCAATACAAATTCTTAAAATAAATTCAGTCCAATGTTACGCGAATCACTCCGTAATACATCGGGTCCAACGACGTAGCCTTTTGTTTATTTAGACATAAGCAATTATAAATTATTAATACCACACTCCAGATTTAAAATCCCATTTTAGATTCAGATTATTGGCCTAAGTTCCTTAATATCGATAATAATTAATTGGATAAATGGTAACTGCTTGTTAAATATATATACATATTTATTTTATCTAAAATGCATTTTAGAGTAATATGTTCGTTTTTCACACCTGGAATCAATCACTTTTTGATTTACATTTAATTTTCTTCTTCACGTATGAAATCTTATGTTTCATGTTAATATTCTTTTCTGGCTATTGAAATAATTTCCTCGAATGGAGTCACGTTAGATTTTCCTGTTTCTAATTTAAATTAGATTTTGTGTGATTGAAATATTATATTATGTAACCGTAATGATTTTGAACGTTGGGTCAACTGTTATTTAAGAAGCACTCTTCGTGATTGCGATTGTGTGGTGAGTGAATTATAAATATTATCCATAGGTGTCATCAAGATACAGTCTATTCAAATTCATATCGTATCTTGTAATTTATTTTATCTATGTTTTGAATTATGATTAGAAAATATATTATTTCAAAAATAATAACTTGGGGAGGGGATGTTCCAAAACATTTTGGGGGTTGTATTTTACATATTGTAATACTTCTACAAATAGTTTGGTACAAATTTCAAAATGTAGAATATTAAAAAATTATGATACGGAATTTTCTCATAAATAATGTAACATTTTCTGACAGTATCTTACCTGAAATCACCGCACGTAATACCCTGTACGGAGAACAAGAACTGCGAAAATGAACGACACTGGTGCCTTTACTAAAAAATATTGAATTTAGAAGCCAGTTGCCAGAATGAAATTATGAAATTTAAAACCTGACAAATTCGCGCCATCGCTAGAACAATTTTTGTTCGGTACTATT